ACTTTTCATGCTCAGTGCACTTATTTTTATGCCACAGTTCTTAATGGAATCTTGTCTGGCGTCCTTCAGGGCTAGTGATACCTCCATTTTGGGGGTTAACTCGCTTGCCTTGTACATGGGCTGCCTCACCCGTGTTGCCATCAGCGAAGAGCGTGATGATATGGGCTAACAAGAAAAATTACAAGTAAAAAACTGAATAATTGAGCCATAATTCAATGCATTATCCCTCAATAAACAGCTATAATGCACTAACTTGAAAAAAAGTGAGAAAATAGCACCGCTGACATGTCTAACATGCAAAAAAAGTGCCTTTCCATCTCTAAGTCAAGGCAAGATCATTTTTATGGTAATGTTGTAGTCCTGTTTTAGTTCTGTTCTACGTTCGCTTTATTTTCATGTTTATTTTCAAGCCTTGGTAGCTGCCAAAAAACCCTCTGAATTATTTGATGCGCACTCATATTTTTCAGAAGTAGTGTCCGTCTAGCATCACTTAGTGATGCATATGTTTAGGGGGATCAGATGTCATAGCCAAATCAATCGTTTTCTACATCAACAGAGCTGAATGATCAAGCGTTTACTATAACAATATCTTCTGGCCTTTTTTTTATGTCAAGGGTGAGTCGAAGTCATTCAAGAATTGTGCCAGAGCTGCCAGCTACTGCTCTGCTTTGTCCTGTTAATCTTATAGTGAATGCCTGCAATGAAGATGGCTCACCTGCTGCATTTTTCGCATCCAGCTGTACCTCCAGCGCTGTCAGGGTAACATATAAGACAAATGTAATTTAGCTAACTTTATGTCTTTTGGGTATACTTTGAAAATGTCGTGCTCTGTTTCTGTGGTGCCTTTATTTATATACGTTAGAGAAGATACATAAAGGCAGCCACGTGCTTCCTAGTTATATTACTGAACCGTTGAAGGTAATTTCCACTTTCAGTGATGAATGTTTTATATGTTGATGCATTTTAGATACAGTAAAATGAAATTACGCTTAAACATTGTTATGAACAGGGTATCTACCGACCTGGAAAACCTAAAAAGTCAGGGAATTTCTGAAAAACCTCTCCAGGTCATGGAAATCGACAGCAGTCGGGGGACCATCACAAAAATGAGCATTACCATTGACCAAAGCTTAAAATATCGCTTCTTCGGCTGCTGCTACAGTGGACTGCCAGAAAAGGCATAAAAAAAAAAGGCACTGCATGATTGTTGTTTTTTAGTGTAAATGCAAAAGGATACATCGACCAGTATAACACAGTTTACTGACGTTTCGGCACTCAATACGGGAGCCTTGTTCGCAATAAAAGACAAAAGAAAGGCACAGCATACTTAAGTATGCCTAAGTGCGTGACGTAGGCAGCAAGAGTACATTCTCAGAAGCATCCCATCAGTGTATGCGCAGTCGTCTGTACCTAGATTCCAGGTGCGTTCATGACGCAAGCTTCTTTTCTTTGTCCAGAATACACACTTTACCAGTCAATTTTGTGGCCTGTAGATTCTATGCGTTCAGTGAAAGCATTTGAAGCCATGCATCATTTTGTGACATACTGTCGACTCTCGTTAATTCAAACTCGAAAAGACCTCTGAATTTTGTTTGAATTATCAAAAAGTTTGCATTACCAGAAGTTCTCAGATAGATGACTCTGGGTGAGGTGACACCACACATTAGGATTAGATATTGATTTTATCACATTTAAAAATTTTTTAAGTGTTTTACACCCTAACTGCATGCATGCAGTGAACAGAAAGCAAAGGTGTGAAGTCCACAAGTTTATTGGCCATTTACTGCTGATCAGGCCTTTTGAAGAAATAGTGAATTTCCAACTGCTTCATTGCTATAGGTATGTGCATACCAGTTGAGAGGCATCACAGTTTTACTATGCATTCTTCGTTTAAAGCATGTTTTCTTGCAAAGCATTTTTCTTTGAAGGCCTTAGGTGCTTATTTTTCATTTTTAGACTGTGAGGATTATATAAGCACACAAATTTTTAAATAGAAGTGGGAAAGCAGCTGATATTTTCTGGTATGAACTTGCGAAAAGTATGAATTAACTGAATGACGGAGTTTGAATTAATTAAGAGGATTTTAAATATATTGAAAGAATAGCGGGCCAACCAAAAAATTGTATTTTGTTTGAATTAACCAAAAGTATGAATTATCAGTTTTAATTATTGTGAGTCTACTATGGTATATTTTATTCGTGTTTAACCCTTTCATTGAAATCGCCATTTTCATTGATGTACTGGTTATCACAATTGTGGCAGTCTAAGGCATAAACAAGACTGGGGAAATTTTTGCTTGGCAACTTGTCTTTCACATTGAGTAAAGCATTCCTTAGCTTCTATGTTGGTACATGCACTATTTTGATGTCTGTTACTTCTAAATATCACTTTGCATATCTGACTTTTGAATCACAACCTTACTCATGTTTGTAAGTTTGTTCATGTTTGTCTTCTCCATGATTTTTGCTCTGCTTGAAGGTCTCTTGAATAGGCTAGAACTGCCATCAGCAGAGGCTTGCCAGGCTATCTCGTTCCTTTTATTATTAGTATTATTACTGTTGGTGATGCAGCAGCAAACGTCCTCAGCTTCACACTTGTTGGTAGCTCACGTTTCAAGGGTAGTATGGGTAACTTCAGCTAAATTTGTCATTTCAGTTTCTTACGATTGTGTTATTAAATCTGGAATTACTTTTTAGCGTCGGATCCATAGAAGAGAACGTAAACGAAGGTAACATGCTGACATTCGTGATTCATTTGTGGAATCGAGGAAACTGTTGCAACTTGACAGATTCCTTCTTGCTGCCACATATTTAAATGTCGGCACTTTAAACGCGACCCCCAGCTTTCATTGCAGGCACTTGAGGACTTTCATTGCACTTCAAGCATCATAGCTAAGAGAAATAAACACTAACATGCATGCGGTCAACGAAAAAAAGAAAAAGAAAGAAAAATTTGCAGTACAGCTTTGTTCTTTCAACATTGCAGTTAGTCATTGTCAAGGCAAGGTGCACAGAATACAGGAGTCGCAGTTATACTTTTTTTTTCTTGCTGAAAAGTATATTTTAGAGGTGTGCAAATTAAGCGGGAATGCAAATCGATAGTAAGTACTGCAATCCAGGTTGAATCAGATTGAATTCAATCCAGATCCTAAATAGAAGTCAGTAAATACAGCAGTTCAGGACGATCTAATGCAATCCAATCCACGTCCTAAGCGGCATGGGCTGCAGCCAATATAGTAAACTAGAATATGCTTCAGTGGCGGAACTGGTCAGGCTCCCGTGTCCTCCATTTATGCTGATGCCACGAGATGGCACTAGTTTTACGTTTCCTAGCAGCTTTTACTGACTGAGTTGTCGTACTATCACAGACTCCTTCAAACTTTCATGTGCACTTAATTTTAACCTGTGTGTTTGCTGCCTGGTTCTTCTGAACATCAAGCAGCCAACTTGCTCATTGCCTGGCTCAGAGGTTTTATTTTAGCCGGATATACACATTTTTTCGCATTTACCGCACGCGTCAGAACATTCTGAGTGTGTGCGGTAATGATATTTACTTACTTTATATGAGCGCCTGCTTTTTTTTTTTTTTTTTGCCACTCGAGGGTTTGTTTCCACTGCACAGAGTTTTCCAAGCAGAGGTGACAGTCATGGAGTTTGCTTTTAATCATCATGGAAAACCTGGAAAGGTCAGGGAATTTCGAAAAATGAAATAGGTAGACACCCTGATGAAATTGAAGCAGTTCTGTAACTTATATAATACAGCAGTTACAGTGCTTTAGCCTTACAGGGTCTTAACGATTGTAGTAGCTGTATTCTAAAAACCAAAGTGCTATGAATGAAACGTGTTATCTATATATTTAAAGGCCTTTATGCACCTACATGACATGTTCTGGTAAAAAGAGCACACGAAAAAAATGGTTTGAGTACTGAAATGAACAGGATCAGCACCCTTCTAGCATTCTCTTGCAATATACTCTTTCTATACATGTTTCTCGTACTATAGAGAAGTAATTGTAAAGATAATAAGGGGAACTTATAGTTTCTGAATAAAAAAACATATGCACAATGTTTTTTGATTGTCACGTAATATTGGTCATAGTCACATGGAAGCTGTCACTTAATTTTGATGAAGTTGACTTACAGAAGGCACCATTGATATAGAAAGCACATGAGGGTACAAGCATAATTTTCAGTGTCTGAAAAGACCATTTACCCCAATGAGAGTTCTGTACAAGAGCAGGCAATTCAATCAGACATCAGGGCACACTTACTCTAAAAAGAACATTGGTAAAAATAAGCTGTACTTTGAGTGACATTGTCATATCTCTGTCTTTGAGCGATAAATAATGAGGAGCATTATAGCATACAATTTGCAAACATGTGCTTCATGTCCTGCAGAAAATGGACTAACAAACTAGGCATAGCTGGCCAGCATATGAAGCAAGAACTGGGTGCAGTCAGCATTTTGCTTCATAGAGATGTCTTTATTGTGATGTTTGCTGGTTCATACAATCCTGTACAAAATCATTGTTGGTTAAAAAAAAATTGTTTACTTATTTCATTTGCTCATACTGGCTGGCCTATAACGCTTCGAAGAAAATTATATGGTGCAGTTTTTATATGAATTGATATTTATGCATTGCTACTGTAACCTTTTCGATATATTTGTTGGTGTTTTGTAGTCAGTAAAACCTCAATAAAATGATGTAAAAAACCAAACATCGCTATATTTAGCCTTCACCCTCATGGCCATATTTACTCACTGTGTAGGAGATATTGGGTCTTTCCATTGTATGCCACACTAGATAATATAATCGAAATGAGAAAAAACAGTGTGGATTATTTTCAGAAAAAATTCCGAGAGGCCTAGCACTGGTAGAGAATGAATAATGCAGCTCTTCAGGTTCCTGTCATCAATGGATGTGGAGCATTCACATTTCTGTGTGTTCTAACATAAGTAAATTTACACATGCCCTATGTATTTTGCAACCTTTAACGCAGGTTATGCAGCTGCAGATAATGAACAAGCGCTTGAGCTCTGCACTGGCAGTGGCTCGGCTGCGGCAACCAGATACACAGAAGGCTGGAACAGCGGCAGCGGCAGCAGCATCTGGCCCTCTGAGCAGTTCACCACCACTTACCCTGGTGGGAGGGCTTAGCCGTAGCACAAACCTCATGGAAGATAGTGTCACTGAGCAGCTCCTTCAGCTTGGACTGGAACTATCGGTCAGCCAGCACCCAGCTAAGCAACCCAAGCTTGCCAATGGGGAGCTCTAGTTTTACCAAGTTTATTTGTCTGTTTCACCCTGAGGTCAGGGGTCACTTGTGATATGCGTAATGAGGCTTGGGAGCTTATTGTTGATTGCCAGGGGTAATATCACATATTGAGAGCGATCTGTTTGCCACTGAAAGCCTGTAACTTTTCTTGTGAGAGATATTTTTTATCATTAATAATATTATTATTATGATTAATAATATTGTATTTTGTGTTCTCTATACCATTGCAATCAACAGATTAAGAGGAAGACTTGCTAGTAGTTTTGTTGCCCACTTCAGTGCAAGCTGCCGATAGTACAGGAAAAATGGTGGCACAAATGTTCACTGTGCCATCATTTCCCGTACATTTCAGTCTGTGCACTCAATACCCATTGTTCCAGACTGTTTCAGCATTTGATCAAATTTGTTTGTTTTTTGATGGGGTTGCCTAACATGGCTTAGCATATGAGCTTACAAAGCAGATGCCTGTTTCATGCCTCTGCAGTGTTGTACTATAGTCTTGCATGAAATTTAAAAAAAACAAATATTGGCTAAAGAATTTATAATCAACTACTCTTAATGAACAGTAGACCACTTATTTATTACCTAATTGAAAAATTACTGAAAAGGTATAATGGGTTTTACCATGACTTAACACATGAATATGCAAACAGCTCGACCAGCTTTTTATTGATTTGTCTACTGAGGTGCTAAATCCATTAAGAGGGAAGCCTGTGGTCTGTGATGCCAGCATGCTTTGCCTAAGCAAACGTCACTTCAATTTCATTAATTGGACTTCATTTAGGCATGTTTGTTAGGTTTCAAGTCAGAGCTTTTGACTGCAGGGCTCAACTGTATATTTGTTTATTTAAGTCTTTATCTACCTTTAAATAAAAAGGGCATGTAGCTCTATACTATGGCACCTTTAGACCAACTTTATTCATACATATATATATATATATATATATATATATATATATATATATATATATATATATATATAGTGGGAGTAATAATTCAATGGGCCAGTTAGTCTTTGTGAAGGTATGGGATATGGCACAACAGGAGCGTTGTCAACAAGGATAAATATATTTATTTCCCAACAGTTTCGGGAGGGGTCCTCCTTTCATCAGGGGATGAGTTACACTGACATGAATTTCCAAACTTCGTTGCTGCCGCGTCCCTCTCGCCTTGAAACATGTTTGCGAGAGTGAGAGGGAACTAGAAAAAGGGGGGGGAGAAAAAAAGAAAAAAAGAAAAACAAAGAAAAGAAAGAAAGTAAAAAAGAGGAAGAACCACTGTCAACACTGAGAACGAAACCAACTGTCCGTGTACGTCGACATACGTTTCTTATCACGTGCTGTTCAGTTCCCGGCACCGCGGCGACAATCTTGGGTGGCCCGACACACGTCGAGAACTGAACAGCACGTGATAAGAAACGTATGTCGACGTACACGGACAGTTGGTTTTGTTCTCAGTGTTGACAGTGGTTCTTCCTCTTTTTTACTTTCTTTCTTTTTCTTTTTTTTCTCCCCCCCCCCCTCTTTTTTTTCTAGTTCCCTCTCACTCTCGCAAACATGTTTCAAGGCGAGAGGGACGCGGCAGCAACGAAGTTTGGAAATTCATGTCAGTATAACTCATCCCCTGATGAAGGGAGGACCCCTCCCGAAACTGTTGGGAAATAAATATATTTATCCTTGTTGACAACGCTCCCGTTGTGCCATATCCCATATATATATATATATATATATATATATATATATATATATATATATATATGAGTGAAATGCAAGGTACATATTGAGTTCAGCATCTAGCACAGAAAACGATGAGGACAGAGCGTAAAAGAGTATGAAGACCTGCACTAGCTTCCAACAAATTTAAACAAGTGTTGGAAGTTAACGCCGGTGTTTGTGCTCCACTTTTTTCTTGTGCTGTGCACTAGATGCTGAAATGGAAGAATAGCAACATGCCCCAACTTACACTATTACATTATTCCATTCTTCAGTATAACAAGTGCTTTTGTCCACCGAACATATATTTTATTCTTAGTCTCATTAGTGGAATAATTATAATCAGTGTGTAAGCTTATTTATTTCTGTTTTGCATAATGTACTATTAGAAGATACATTATTAAGTTGCTAATTTTAGTGACATAGTCTCCTTCACTATGCACAACCTTTTAAAAAAAAAAGTTAACCTTCCTATGCAGCTTCTTTCGTACAATGCTGGTAAGCTCTCTGCTAACCAACAGAGACAGACCTTGTGCCCAATATTGACAGTAGCAGGCATATAAATATGTTTGTTGTACTCCTTCTCTCTGATGTGCTTCTTATATGCTGTGCTGTCATTACGCATAAAGAGGCTTATTGTGTTTTTAAAAAAAAAAGACTGCTTTGCCAAAAGGCTTATACACTGTTTTCTTATCGGCTGCTGGCAGTTTAGTGGTGGAGTGTGTTTTGGGGGACGTTGGCTATATGCGACACCAGGTTAACGTTGCGGACATTCTTTGGTGAGGCTTACAATGTTACAAGTTTTTTTTTTTTTGTTCACACCTAGATAGGGCAGAAAAGTTTAAAACCTTTTACAAGGCCAGGTACTTGCATGAACAGCTGGAGCAATATATTGTTGTAAACAGCTCTGGAGGTGTAGAGCATAGCCAGGCTTTTACTTCAAGGGGCAGGTGGTTTAACCCCTCTTTTTGTATATGCATGTGTGTGCATTTATGCATACACACACTGGAAATTTTCCAGGGTGGGAAAAGAAGGAATTGATTCTCCCAATATTACTTCCCACTGGCTACATCTCTGCTGCAGGTAATTTCTTTAACATACTATTCGTTGCAGCATTTCGGCACTGAACTAGTGGGAAGGGGGGACTATTCAGCTTAGAAGCAGTATCAGTCAAAAATTTTTACCATGCATAAAATTCTCAATGAACTTGGAGGTTTGGATAAATCAAGTTAATATCAAGACAGTAGCCATTTTTTGTGACGAGATAGATAGTGCTCACTTTTGCAGTTTGCCAGTGCACTTGATGTATACCTATCCTTTTTATACTAACTGAAACTAGTGCTTTTACTTGCGTGTATCCAGCTAAAATAATTGTGTGACGCAGTTGGTAATATACAGTTTATGGCATTTGATGTGCTTCTTTATGGAAATTATAACTAGTTAATAGCATTCATTGTGAGTTTGCAGATTGCAGATTTGCATTGCTTCCATCTACCAGATTGATTTTGAACATGTACTGAAGAAACGCGATTTATTTTGCATAAATTTCATTAAATGCAAGTAACTAGCTTGATTATGATTTGATTATGCCATTGAGTACTGGCAGCACTGCTGAGGCTATCATTGCCATTAGCATATTAAATTTCAAGTTTGGTGTAGATTGTCTGCAGGCTTTCAGGAGCTTTGTGTCATGTACAGCACCTTAGCTGTCTTCAAGTCATTCAGAAAAATGAATTCCATGTATTGTGCAAGTGATGATATACATTGATAGCATTTCACAAGCTACATCTCTTGTCATCCTTGCACTAAACAGGTTGCATGCTTTTTCTCTGTGTGTGTGTTTGTGCGTGTTAATGGCTGTTAACAGCACTGTAGAGATTTTATAAAGATGTTCAAGGGTTTTGGTGCTAGGACTGTCCACCTACTGTATAATTGGGGTTTATAATCTTCTAAGCTGTTGTATGTTCATGGACAGGTCATTATTCTGTTAAAATAACCATTAAACTGTACAAGCTCATTCAGCACAGGCTTTTATGAAGAACCTCTGGACACCTTAATTATGAGACTGCTCTCACTTATGCCCCATTTCAGCAGTGCAAGCAGGACATTTCTAATGTTTCATGCATGGCTTTTTGTACTTGAAAAGATAGCATGTTAATAATGCCTGAGCACATAAAATGAACTTTTTACACTTACTGGCCACATACAAATCTAGGCTGTCGAAAGATGAAATTTATTTGCAAACATAATGTTGATGCAGTGCTACCCTTTTGAACATCATTGCTGGTGCAAAAAAGCAAAATCATTTCAGTCTTCTGCACTCAATATATTGCTTCCCTCCATGCGTACTCGTGCTTGTTTTGATGGAATTGTGTTGGTGACGTGCTTTGTAAAGTGTGAGTTATTGAGCAAAGTGTAAAATTTTGAGTAATGATTAAGTGTTTCATATGTATTAGTGCACTTCTAGTAAAATACAAGGTGGTGAGCACCTTCAGGACATTTCCTTTTTCTAGAAACATTGCATAGGCATTGTAGAGGCCTGCTTTAGGAATTGTAGTGACAATTTAGGCAGTGTATTGAACTCTGGTTCACAGCTCCGAGGCAGAGCCTTTAAATAAAGCTAGCTTTCTGTGGCTTGAAAAAAAAAAGTTGGATAACAGGCACCACTTTCTGCTCTTTTTTTTCCATCAGTATTGTTTTATACTCGGTAGAAGTGCAGCAGTAGATTATGCATGCTTCTGGTATTTCTGCATATGTTATCTGTCATGTTGCCCCCCTATAGAAATTCAGGCACCTACTTGTTTGCCCACTGTATCTTGATGAAACGGTGCATTACTGACCTCTATAGTTTTTCCAGTACAGAATTTTCGCACTTTTTCTAATGAACACAATATAAATTCACTTTCCATTTAGCTATGCTAACATTAATAAACTTTTTGTTCCTACGTGAAATTTTTGGTATGTAGTATAATATTTTCAGATACTGTATATATTTGGGTACCTATTTAGAAACATTTCATTTATTTAGGGTGCTTTTTATACTCCTAAATATTTCCTAAATAAACCACAGCTGTGGCTCAATACGTTTCCTACATCAGCTGTCAGCTGGTTAGCTTGTTTTTGATTACAAGTGAAGGCCTCTTTTAAGTAGCTTCTTTTATGTAAGCGAGACATCATTGGTTGAATTGTTTGGGCAAGTTGTCATACCAGAGGGTTTTTTTTTTGTGTGTGTAGTTTATATCCTGTGTGCAAATGTATGAAAGATATGAGCTTAATTGTTGCACACTTTGCACAATCAAAGTCTGACAATGATGCATGACCAATAGGCTGAATTACATTGCACAGACACCACTTCGGAGCTGACTCAAAAATGTCCTAGTGATGAATAATTGTTGGAAACTTTAAGGCTGTAACAATGTGCTTGAAACATATGATGCATCAATCATATCTTGATTTTAATGCTCAGCTCCATCACTAAACCATAACTCAAGTTACTTTGAAAAAGATACTCTCTGAGGCTAGTTATTCACAAAACTTTTTGTGTGATATTTGAAAATGCATACTTAATCTTTTTGTACATGTTGTAAGATAAATGTAAATCAAGTAGATTTTGCTACTTTATTCAAATTGTGCACATGCGCGCTTACTTTACGACAACAGCAACACATGTGCGTTCATTGATGGAGCGTAACTTTTTGCAAGGCAGGCAATATTTCTTGTAAATAACTTTGTGGCTTCTTTATTATTTTTTTGTTACTGGAAATGTTAAGGTATTAAGATAGACTACTTAATACACATAATGTACAATAAATGTGCTGCTTTTCCAAGAGTTGTACACTCATTTTGAATTGTGGTAAGAATTATGTATTGTAGATTTTTGTGCTTGCCACATATTGGCATATTATATATATCCTTGCACTCAAGACACAGATATGCATTCCTTAAATCTTATAAATTTGGATATTTCATTGTAGCTTCTGTAATAAACCTTAGATTCTGTGGTACAGGTTATTGCGATAATTACGTATACTGATCTGTATTAACCTTTGTTTGTATATTTTTGTAAATAGAGAGACATATATGACGGTTATTATTTATTTTATGTTTTGTAGGGTGCTGTAAGGGTTAGGTCTTGCAATGCTCTGCATGTTTTGTGATCTTATTTCAAAGTGAAACATTGCAACATTACGAAGAAGTGAGCTGTATGGTGTTGTC